TCTGGTTCCATTAAAAACCATTTTAACGAGTACCTACCATTACAGGTTTTTATACCAACAATATAAAATTGACCTAGGAAACTGGGTAACCATGACAACAATCACACAGAAATCTACCATCTTTAGATTTATAGATAGATAGATAGATAGATAGATAGATAGATAGATAGATAGATAGATAGATAGATAGAGATAAAGTGTGTGTGTGTGTGTGTGTGTGTGTATGTATGTATATGTATATGTGTGTATGTGTATACACACACACACACACACACATATACTTGTACTAATACTGTGGCTCTCAGAGAGGGCGCTCATCTTTATAGTGAACTTGCCCAGTCAGGAGTACCTAAGGACAAGAAATCCTGACTGCTCCTGACTGGGCAAGATCGCTATAAAGACCATCTTAGCTTGCTCAAAAAGAGACGTTATACAGCATCTCTACATCCAGATGGTATCAGAAAATAGCACCATCCATCCAAAATTGGCAAACTGTCAGATGTCACATCTGCTCAGAAACATGAAACCTGTCTGATTTTAATTCCTAATTTACCTATACCATGGAATAACCTGGAGAGAACAGCTACAAAAGACTAACTCCATCCCATCCCCATCATCTCACTCAGGTCTTCATGGTACATGCCACCTTCATGCTTCATTCAGAAATAAATCCAGGACACAAGTCGCTTTACCAGTAGTTGACCTGGGAACAAAGAATAGGGTTTTTAAGTTGGGGGGGGGGGGGGCAACCTTATTATCATTTTGACTTTTTTCAAGTTGCAGCTTAAAAAAATAATTGAGACTTGATGAGACTTTAGAAATACAAACTCACTTGAATGATCTTTTAATACTCCCAAATTAGAAACAACCATGTTCAAGCTCTCTTCCTCTGTATTCCATTTCTCTATTAATAAGATTGCAATCCATTTATGAAAATGTACCTTACCAAATCCAGAGAGAGAACAAATTCTGAGTAAATACACATATGATGAAATTCTTTAGTTGTGTGTGTATTTAAGTATATACAATATATGTTTGAGTATATGTGTACGCAGATATAAATATCACACATACACTCACACACACACACACACACACACACAGAGCTACATTAGATTATATTATTGAAATGAAAAAGAATTAACACATAATTCCCCATATTGTAAGATACATTCAACACTGGAATAAAAGACCCCATAGCAAGGAAAGATTGAAGGCAAACAAGATCTAGGCAGAAGAAGGACATCATGACTTCAAAATCTAAGGGACTGATTTGGACAAAACTCAACAGTATTTTTTCATGTGGTTGTTGATAAAAATACAATCGCCAACTTGATCACTAATGTCCAATGACAGATATGGCACAAAAAGAAGACAGCAATTCCTAAAGACATTCATAAATCCTATATTTGAAGCAACAATCCCTACAAACGAAGGCAAAACTCCATGAATACAATTTGATTTTATTGTATCATTAATTTCTTAACAAATTCAACACTGATAATAGATATTATTTCAATAACACTATTATTTTGTTCAGTGCACTGCAATTCCTTTCTTAAAACTTATTCTCATCATATGCATCTTATTGCATATTATTATGGGATTGTGTTTGAAGACAAGAATCACATACGTAATAGTAAGCCATGAAGTTTAAAATTTATGGCAGTTATATTCATAAATAAAATATTGTTGATTCATAATGTTTTAAGAAGCTGCCACACTCTGAGCAACTAAATAATTATGACTATAAATTTGCATATTTGTATAACAATACTCAGAAGTACTTTTGTTCTATATATTTGATGCATATTGATATATGTGTAAGTACACTTCTTTAAATTGTGGACACATACCAGATTTTTTTTCAAAAAAAACAAAAACAAAACCCACATACCATATAAAAGACAAAGTCAATATTAGGAAATGTTAGACGGAGTCCTATTAATATTTTGCATTATAAACTTTTCAACTAAAGGTTAATAAGACAACGTAAAGGCATGAACAGTTTCTCATTTCAAATTGGTCGAAGCTAGTACAGTTATTTCTATTAGAAAACAAGTTATAATTAGCTTTAAAATATGTATTATAGTAAGTGTTATCTTTTTCAATATAAGTGGAAAAAATGATAATATTTCCTTTTGGATCTTTCAAATTTTATTTTCTGCACAAACAAATCTCTAAACTGAAATATGTTTTTTGCTACCTGTTCATATTCAACAAGTGACTCTAAGGTGTAAAGGCAACAAAACCATAGTATCCTATTTGTTGAAATGTATTATTATCATCAAAATAAAACCAGTTCAGGTATCATCCTGCCTAATTATCAACTCATTATTGTTCATCACTAGAACAACTGCATGGACTGAGAGGACCCTCGTTTTTCTTTCTCTAGCTGGAACTACTTATGATTCAGTATTCACTTCTAAAGGAGAAAACAAAACCAGAACCAGTTAGCATTAATGAATCAATGAAATAAAACAAAATTAAAACTTATTATTTCAAATTATGCATTGGGTCTCTACTTTATAATTACTCTATCATCAATAATAGAGTTGCTAAAGCTCATTCATTCAAAATGCATTCCAAAAGTATTTGTCATTTATATATCACCAAAACCGTATATTCAAATATAATGTAAAATTGTTAGAACTGTCTCCATAGATCACTTCAATTATTTTGGATGTCAATTATACATCATCTTCAGCTATGCCACAATTAACACTTACAGTATTCTAGTAAAAAAAAGTTATATTTCATTTCAAAGAGACTCATTTTTAACTGTAGGTTCAGAACCGCTAAAAGTGATTTCCTGAACCAAATATGGGATTTTTTTTTTTTAAAAAAAGGACTATTATTTTTATCAAATATATGGTCAGAAATAAGATTATAGATTAATTTTTTTCCTTATCCTGAACAAATATTCCAAATAAAGACTACACTGCAGGATACAGATCTAATGGAATTCCGTGGAAAGGTATAGAACTCAGTCAGTGCTGGAGAACAGCACAAGTCAGTAGAAATTATTATTGTTACCATAATAAACCACACAATATTTCAGGATAGAATATATTCATCCCTGTCCCCCAAATAGAATATATGGACTGACGTTCAGTTCCAAAAAGGACAAAAAAAAGCATTCCATTAATTTCCATTAAACGTGAAGTTGCCTTTTAAAAAACAGAAGCTAGTTCAATTAATTGTTATCACTTTACTTATTTTGTATGCCTCAACTGCAAGGGATTAATTATGGTTTACCATAGTAATGATAGATGGATTATTTAAGTAGTGCCTGGTCCACAACTTCTACTTAGTGGAAGAGTTATTGAGAAATAAAATCTCAATCAAGCAGTCCTTTTTTCCCTTTCATTTTCCTAATAATAATATTTTCAGACATAAATAACATGGGGCTGGAGGACTAAGAATCCATTACCCTGTTGCCAAAAAAAGAAAAGAAAAGCAAAAGAAAAGCAAAAAGCATTTGAAATGCAAAGCCTTAAATATAAACAATGACAGTTCCTGGTAATAATTTTCTATATAGCACTTACCCAGCCCAGGTATTATAGTAAAAGCAATTCTTTTAAGAATGAGCTTACAATACCATAACACCTTTTGGTTCTTTTACATTAAAGCACAAGGTAAACCAAGGACAAAACAGTAGAAGCTGTTTTAAAGCTACCTTTCTAAATTAACTCTATATTTAAAAAGTGTAAATTACATTTCTCAAGAAGACATTCACAATAAATAAGCTCCACAGGCTTCCCTAATACAAACAAATACACACAATTTATAAGCAAAGCTCAAAGCTTTACGTGTAGAAAATTAAACATTCATACACCATATGCTTTCACACACCGCATCCACAGAGACACCCGCACAATACTCTGGCATGCCGATCCAAAATGCACTCTTCCTAGCATTTCTAAGTAAAAGAGAGTCACTTTTGATACTTACGGCCGGCAAAGATCTAATGTTTTTATGTGCCACTGGGATGCAGGGTTGAATTGAAATCGTTGGCTTTCTAAGGACAAGCCTGCTTAATTTGCAAAGTGGCAATTCCACGGTTAAGCCCAAGAAAAATACACACCTTTTCCAATGTGAGATCCATGGACTAGTATCCCAGCAGCAGAGCCGGGATGGGTGGGAGAGCCCAGGGAAGCTGTTGGAGTAGGCTCTCGTGAAAAAAGAAGGGAAGGAAATATGTGTGTACTGTACACACACAGAGGCACCAGAGGGAGGGAAAAATAGAACAGTGTCATTCAAGGGCTTCACGAGAGAGAGAAAGGGGTGGGGGGGAACCCGGGAAAGACTGCACCGCCCCCTCTCTCCCTCCTATCAGATCAATGGGACAAAGAAAGCGGGGGGGGGGGGGGGAGGCAGAGAAAGGAAAGTCTGGGGGCTGCCTTTTCTAAAAGGGTTTTCCAGAGGGGGCAGGCGAAGGGCTGGAAGAAGCCAGAGCTCCCTCCCTTTATCAACAAGGGGAGGTCCCGCTATGGCATCCCAAACACCCCCCACCGCCCAAAGGAGTAAACGGGGAAAGAAGGGCGAGGAAAAAGTAGAGCCGATCTCTTGCCCCGGGCCTCTTGCGTCCTGTCAGGACCAGGAACCCATCCAGCCTCCAAAAGCGGGAGGAAAGGGGAGCGGAGCCGCGTCTCGGCTACAAACTCCCCCCCCTCCCCGCCGCCACCTCTTTTTCCCGCCCCTTTTCCCTCCCCGCCTCATTCGAGGGTCGGGCGGCCGAGAGCAACACACGCCGCTCCAACGACTCCGGGACGGGAAGGCAGGAAGCAGGCAGGCCCACAGGGATGGGGCGGCCATTAAAGCCGCTCCAATCCGAGCCTTTCCCCGCGCGCGGCTGCTGCAACCGAACCGCCCCCACCGCGGCTTCCCTCATAAACACCGTGGTGGCGTTCGCCTCAGCCTTTGCCCGTCGCCCCACAGCTGGGATCGGGTCCAGCCCCACCCCCACCCGCCTGCCCGCCTGCCCTCCGGGGTCTTACCTGGCTGCATTTCTCGTGGACTTCGGCTGCCGAGGAGTCTCTTTTCCACCAGAGTTGCCCCACTGCCCAACGGCTCGCCATTATTTCAGACTCCAGTTACAATGGGATAAGAAGAAGAGGGGGGGGGGGTTGGAACCGGCTGGAGCCAAGGGGGGGTGGGGGGGGGGGGGGGGGGGGGGGTGGGGGGGGGGGAATCGTTGTCGGGCGGCAAAAATAGGCTCCCGAGGGAGGATGTGGGGCTGGAGGCAAAAGCAAAAGAAAAACACGGCTGTCCACATGCACCAAGGAAAAGGGGTGCAGCCACTCCCACCTGAAAGAAAGATAGCGCTCAAGCTGGAAAAAGACCCGTCTCTGACTTTTGGGAAAGAGCAAAAAAAAAAAAAAATGTTTTTAAAAGAGCGCTGTCCAGCACGCAAATTCTAAGCAAGCCTCGCCTCCACAATGGGGTCCAGAAGGAAAGGGATCTTCCTTGTCCAAAAAGCCCTGCGAGAGAGAGAGAGAGAGAAAGGGGGGAGAGCGCAGGGTAAGATCCCGCTGGACTTTTCTCAACCGGTCGCCCCGGCGAGAAGAAAAAGGAAAGGAGGGAAAGGGGTGGGGTGAGGGATGTGTCAGTGGCCCGGGCAAAAGCCGCCGCCGCCGCCTGCTCCCGCTGCCGCCCGTCCCTTGTTAGGCTAATTGCATTGGCTCGTCATCTTCCTCTTCCTCCTCCTTTGCAAAGCCTTAGCGCTTAGGAGAGGGCGGAGGAGAGCAGAGGCGCTTGCCGCTGCCTCCTTCGGGCGCGCACGCATACACCCGTGTCTGAAGCATTAAGGAAAGGGGAGGAGGACACCCATATATACAAGTTGTCCAAGGACAGGGAAATAAATCAAGATTCCCGCCCCCTCCCCGTGACCGGCATTTCCTTCTCAGGCGACGGGGGAGCGCAAGGTCCGGGCCAGGTTGGCGAGGGGACCGGATGCTCCTTTGGAGAAGCTCAGGAATTTGAAAACTTTTCTGCCCGATCCTGCCAGGCATGTGACACGGAAGTCTTGCCTGCTGCATACGCTTTTGGCACACTGTTTGAACCGGCCCAGGCCGATTGCAACCTGAAGCGGGGAGAGGGGAGGCGGGGAGAAGCCATAGATCAGAGGAAGCTTTGCTCGGCTCTTAAGTCCAATAAGAGGTCCAAATTGCCCTTCTCAGGTATGCTGCCCAGCGCGCAGCGCTGTGTCTTCTGCCTTTCTACAAATGAGGATTGCTTTTCGGTGGGTAGTTCACGGCCGGTTGGCTTCGAAGTTCGAATCCAAAAATACTGTAATTACCTCCTCTCTTTTCACCAATGCAACACCTTGGCAAAAATGCACAGCACCTTGTCTTCCTACATTTCCCAAACGGAAGTCACCTCTCCCTGCCCGAGGGAGTCCTAACTCTGTTTTTAAATTCTTTAAACGTGCTTGCCTCACAGCGAGTAAGCCTAAGGCTGCTAGGAAAGGGCACTGCTTTTAACACGGAAGAAAAACACAGGGATCAAAACTTCTTAATAAAGAAGTTATTTTACTCTTTTTTTAAAAAGTAAACAAAGCATTTACATTGCCCCGCTGCCCTAGGCAGTTTACAGGAGTGCCAGCTGCACCCAGGTCTGCTCTAGCTGTCAGCCGCACGATAGGTGCTTTATGTGCTGCTGAAAGGGGGAGGTGGGGAGACAATTAGTTTATATATATATATTTAATATAAACCTTTTTCCAATATAAAGCAAGAACTTCTTTTCGGGGAGGGGGAAAGGCAGAAAACTGCAAGGCAAATTATATACCCATTTATTGTTTGCCGGACACTACACGTATCTTCAGCCAATCTGTTTGACAGGGCGAGGCAAACCAGGTGTATTTGCGTAACCCGCTCCCCCCACACGCAGCATTAAAAATATAGCCAAGAGCGCTCCGCTGGAGCTTAACAATTCAGAAAGTAACACCACGTCTTAGAGTTGCGGAGTCTTCCCAATTACTTTTCAGAGTTCCTATGTCCCTAAACTAAGAAAAAAGCAGAACTGAATGGCTCCTCAAACCAACTTTGATAAAAAGGGTAGGAGCAAACTTCCCTGAAAAAGAATGCCTAATTCAGTATTTTATTTTCCACCTTCCTCTAACTCTTACATATATTCAAATGCACTCTGATTGTTAATGGGTGATCATCTAAAGATACTGTATTTAAGTCTGCCTCCAAACTTAATCAAAGATCAGTTTTCAAAGATTTTAACATTGTGAAAGGAATGGATGATAGAAAGATGCTTTAAAATATCAGATTCACCGCATAACTTAATGCTTATGGTGCATTTGCTTGCAAACTTTTGTTGAAACCTCAGTGAGAATGGTTTTCAATTGTACTACATTTCATAGCAGCCTTTGTGTGTGTGTGTGTGCGCGCGCGCGTGTGTGTGTGAATTTCAAGTAATTTACCACTTTCTTTTCAAGATGGAAAAAGTGTATTTAAACAAAGTGACAAATATTAGCACAACATGTTATTGATTAGAATCCACAAATGTCTGAAGCATGTGAGATAGAAGGTCACATAGCACAGCAATGAAATGTAAATGTAGTTCAGTAATTATTTTAATAAATATAGAGAATATAAATTCTAGATTGATATCCCACCTTTTCTTATGGAGCTCAAGATAGCAACCATAGTTCCTGGCTGCCTTAAATAGCTGCCATATAGCTGTCATGGGGAACTCATCTAATCTAGTGGTTACAGCATCAAACTAAAAACCAGTAGAATGTGAGTTCTAGTTTCACCTTAGGCATGAAAGCTGGGTCAGTCACTCTCTCTTAGTCTAACACTAACCAACCTCATAGAGTTGTGGCAAAATAGGAGGGAAACAAGTGTTATGTAAGTTTGCCACCTTGAGTTACTTATAAAGTAATAAAGACAGGATAAAATCTAAAGAATGAATAAAACCAATAAACCATAAGCACTCCTATTTTCCCCAAAATAAATCTGTAAGGTTGGCTGGCCTGTGACTTGTTCAATGAGTGGCTGAGGATAGACTTGAATTTAGGCCTTTCTTGTGCCAATCCAACACCTTATTTGCCATCAGCACTTCTTGCATGTATTCAAAAGTACACTGAGTATTAATTGGTGATATTTAGTCATCTAAGCGTAGCTGAATAAATTATACCTATAATAGTGGGACCATCAATCTTTGTCACTATTTCCTATGCAAAGTATGTTAAGAATGGAATTTCATTTTCAAGGTCTTTTGCTGAAGAATTGCAGCTTCCAGTTCAGCAGATAAATGACCAAAGGTATGTAATTCATGTATTATTTTCCAAACAGACCAATATTTTTGGCAAAAATAGAAGAGCATTGGTGGTCACCACAGCACATACCTTACTGGAAGATGTACATTTGCCAAGATATATTAGGCAGAAGGTTTGCATCTGGACTTGCTGAAGAGTCTCTCCACAATATTTCTGTAGCTTGGTAGCCTTTGGGTTGTGGCTAGCTGGCTTAATTTAAGAGCTAGAATCAGTAATATTGTCAGCATTCAAAAGCTACTAGGAGAACATTCAGATTCTTGCACTCTGTTGTCCTTCTGTAATTTGCTTTTCTCAAATAGTGCATTCTTGGACAAAAACTCAATTTACTAATTTCTTGCTCTGAGTAAAAATATGACTTAGCTATGGGATTTCCACACTAGCAGCGTTTGTACTTCCTCACAAATCAATCTGAAACACCCATAATCATCCTTCTTTCTGCTTATTTGGAATTGTGGGGAGAAGGTCTGGAGTTAATCCTGAAGTTGTGGAAAATATTGAAAATAATTGTATTATAATCAATTGCTACTATCAAGATGCTTGTTTTGCAAGGATTTAAAATTGAATTGTCATACATCGTACCTGTTGCATTTTAGGTTCATCATTTCTTGTCTTCTATACTTCTATCTAGATAATAAAACTTCTAAAATATGAGCGTGAATTCTAGTTCTAAAAAGGTATTTACCATAATGAGTTGGTGTTTTATTGTGTGAATTCTAGTTCTAAAAATGTATTTACCATAATGAGTTGATGTTTTATTGCCACAAGATTCCGTGTGTTTCCTGAACAAACTAACAATGACCTTCTGGATATTGCAACCATATGCAAGAATATACAAGTAGTTTTATCATGTAGTATATAATATATTTGCTTGCAGGGTTATTGGTCGACCTAAAATATACGGGATTCACATTTTATGCACAATCACTCTAAAATATATATTTTTCATGTGCGTTCAGCCTGTTATATGTATTTTGTAGCTACTTTTCCTACTTTGCACAATACATATCCTAACTATTTTTATACTTTTCCTAATATATAATTTTTTCGAACCCAGATTTGATGTGCCTGTGTGCTTCAGTTCATCTCTGCATTCAGTAGTATGAAATTGCTAAATTCATATAAATTTCATTTATAATTCTCAGCGATGACTGATAGATTTAAAAAAACAGAACAGTAGCTCATTATATTGGATGGGGATACAATAACCCAGTGTTTTCCTGTCTTGGCAACTTCCAGTCATGTGGACTTCAACTCCCAGGATTCTTAACAATTGAATATCACATGAAGGGGCAAACAATACCTGGAAGTAATCTTTCTCTTTTACACCCACCTCCTAAAAAGGGAGATAGTTGTTTTGGAGATATTACTATCTGGCTTTTGCATATGGCATCAGTCAAGATCCAAAGGGAGGAGTGGTGGCATGACAATTGTCATCCAGTAATCCTTTACAGCTTTCAGGAATGCTTCTCCATAGGCTGCCAGATGTGAAACCTGTTCGTTAAGTTGGATTCTAGGGATCAGTTGAAGTTATTGAAGTGTTTCTAATCAATCCAGCCTCCCTACTACACAGCAATCACCATGTCTGAGTTCCTTGATTCCATGTTAGAATTGGAGATGGAATTCCCCAGACTTGTACTCTTGAGACAGTTCAATTTTGCCTCCTCTAGGACTGAGGTCTGAGATGGCTCTGGAGTTGATGGTCACTATGATGGCCATAGGCCTATCCCAGATCATCCAGAATCCAAGAAGGGACAGTAGCTTCATGCCTGATTTGATGTTCCAGTTGAATCAGTTTCTATATGATCTGAAACTGTGGGACCAATCAGTGTCTCACTTGACATATCATGCCATGATTACCATGGGCTTCTCTGTCCACTGCAGGGGGGCTGTACCCATTATATTGGTCCACTTCTCAGTGACTGATAGTTGTAGATGGGTTTCAGAAGGAGTTGAAGGTTGTTCCAGCTAATCTGCTGCCTGTCCATCTGAAACATTGTTCATTGCTTAGAATAGGGAGGCAGCCAAGGCTTTAGATCAGATCATGCCCTTCGGACCTGTCCCCTCTCTTGGAGATCATCCTTCCCCATGGTTCCTGGAGGACTGAGGGAGATGAAAAGAAAGGAGAGACATGTAGAGCATCCATTGTGCTCAAAGAAGGACAAACTTGATTTCACATGAGTTACAGCTGCTATTAAGGCCTACCTTGTGGTGATAAGGGTGACAAAGCATCAGTACTTCTTTGCCATTATTGCAGAGAAGTGGATTGATTTCCTGCTACCCTATTTCAGATGTGATTTGCCCTCAGGAGAACTTCTAGCAGAAATATGAAAGAGTTTGTTCAACATCCATTGGACAAAATTAACTCATAGTTGGATGCTGATCTCGTTGCAAGTCTAGGAAAGTTGCCTGGGGAAGAGTCTTTCCCCATTATCTAGGATCAGTTTGGATTTTTTGGACTTGAGAAAGTGCACAAGGTCCTTAAGTCACCTGTTCTTTAGATGTATGACTTGTTTAAAGTGGCCTGAAAAAGATCATGGCTGTACGTATAGTGGCACTGAACTGTTTCTTGAGTGAAGGGATGTTCTTTTACCTCTGAAAGAAGTCTTGCTTTGCCCATTTTGGTTTCTCAGTTTTAGAAGAAATTCTGGTCCATTCCAAGACAGGTTTTCAAAGACCACAGGATAACTGAAATGGAAGTGAAGTTTATGTGACAGTAAAACAGACAATTGGCAGTAGAAGGCGGGCATAAATTAAAATAAAATTTTAGTTACACTATAGAGAGGCCCATCTTTTGCTTTAGAAAGAAAGTGCACAGATATACCTTGTCTCTCAAAAAGTATGCTAAGAGGAAATGAGAATTTTCACTCTGTGGAAGTTTTACAATCTTTACTCTTTGTGATTCCCAGATGGTGATCTTGGGTAATGGGTGTGAAATAGCGGAAACCTATTGTAGGTGTGAGGGATTTTCATATCTTGAGATTTTAGTTTAATTAAGTTGCTGGTATTTGCCACTTTCCTATGAAAAAGGTATAAAAACCTGGTTTTGAGGGTTGGCCTTAGGCCCTGAGGGAGCAATCAAGTGGTTGATGAAGTAAGAAGAACTCATCCTTGTGCAGTTTGTTGCCTTGGTCCTAACTTTTTATATAGCTTTTTAAAGTTTTAACTGCTTTTAAGTTTTTACTATTTGTAAGTCTTAGCCAGGGTCACTTTATTTCTGAGAGAGGTGGCATATAATAAATAATAATAATAATAATCCCCCAAGGAAGCACTACTTTGACAAATAAAAAAAGTTAGAAGTGAATACATCAAGACAGTGGGGAAAAATCTTAAAGCCAAACTCAGTGGAGAATATGCCACCATGGCAATTAATACCTGGGCAATTCTAGCCATTAGATACACTGTTGGAATAGAATTAAAAGTCCTGTATAGAAAGACCAGAAAAATAATGACAATGTATCAGAACTGAAAAAGCTTCTTAGATGAGAAGCTAAACGTTTTCAAAGAAAAAGAAAAGAAGAAAGTCCACTTGCTTTTTGGAAAATTGCCTTTGGCATTACATGGTCAGAACATTTTAAAATAACAGCAGGCAAAGCAGATCTAGAAATGGCTAAAAGTAGGAAAATTGAAAGAAGACTCAGAGAGGTTAATCCTGGCTGCATAAGAACAAGCCTTAGGAACAAATGCATGTAAATCTATTGAGAAAAGAGCAGTAGGCAGCAAATGCTCTGCAAAGAAGCTAAAGAAACAGTGGACCGCTTGGTAAGAGGCTGCAAGATTTTTAGACAGACCAACTACAAACAATGGTATGACAAAGTAGCACAGTACATCTGCAAGAAATAACCATTTGCCTGTGAGCAAGAACAGGTGGGACCATAAAATAGATAACAGACTAATTCTAAAAATAAGGTTTTAGAATTGAATTTTAGAATTCAAACTGGCATTTGTCACATAACACCCCGGACTTAACAATAAGAATGACAGAGAAATCTGGATAGTGGAAGTGGCAATACCTGGAGAAAACAGAATAGAAAAAAAAACCCTGGACATTATAGGTACCCTCATTTGGCCAAATTAAATGACCAGCCACGTCTCGGAACTTAGTGTCCTTTGTCCAACTATCTGGAGTTTTCTGACAGGCTAGGGCTAGGTATGTTTAATGGGAAGCATGAATGGGAAGGATGGCAGTTATTCTCTCTACAGTCAGTGAAGCTGTAAGAAGCATAAAACAGAAGTAAAGAAAAACTCTAATAATTCTGCATTTTTCCAATTTGTGTCTGGCAGTATATCAAGTCATTTTACACACACACACACACACACACACACACATACAAAAGCAGGAAACAATGAACTTGCGTCCTGCTTCTGTATGACTCCACAAGAAGAATAAGCATAGGAATCAAACTTCTCTTCAACTAAAGTAAAGTAAATTATAGATGGTTTTCTTTCAAATTTAATATTTTGGAAAGTAAAAGAGAACCATATTCCTAAATAAACAAGGAAGAAGGAAGTACTGTAAATAGTGGTACTTCAAATATTCAAATGATTGCTTTGAAAAATCAAATATTTTAAAATGTTTTTGTTCATTAAAAAAAACCCCATCTAAATAAATCTAAATTAACTTAGTGGGATCATCTGGCTGATTTTGCCAATATTTGGCCATCTGAAGATCCTTCAAAAAATACCAAAGGTATAGAGCTGGAAAAAAAAATTACCCTGAAAAAAAAGATGTAATGAAATTGAATTTGATTACAGTATAATCAAATCAAAATAATAGGTCTCATTCACCTGACTTTAGGTAGTTCTTGATTTATACCCACATTTCAGATTAGATTTTCTATTGCTAAGCAAGGCAGTTGTTAAAGAAGTCGTGTTCAATTTTACAACCTTTTGGTCACAGTTTGGAGTGAATCACTGAAGTTGTTAAGTGAATCCAACTTCTATCTATTGACTTTGCCGCCTCCATAGGTCACAAATGGGGTTCATATTACTCCAGAATGCTACACTCATCATAAATCCATGCTAGTTGCCAAGCACCTGAATCTGGATCCTGCGACTGTGGGAATGTTGCAACACTTATAAGTATAAGACTGGTTATAAGTCATTTTGTCCAATGCCATTGTAACTTTGAATGGCTGTGAAGCAAATAGTTGTAGGTTGAGGACTATCTATACTCAAGAAAAAACATACTTTGTCTTATCCTAAATAATGTTAGACAATAATATTATATTCCCAGTATATGAGTTTTTGGAAGCAATCATTTCTTTTCTTCAGGACATGAGCAGTCATCTTTTAACTGCAGATACATTGCTTGGGCCCATTCATTTAATACCTGAAGATTAAGGAGAAATTTTTTTTTTTAAATAAAGCAGGAAGAAGATGATCATGAGTCTTAAAAGTAGAACAGAATGAAATCAAAGCCAATGAGAATGGCTTTAAATGATTTTTCAGACCTGAAAAAGAAATTAAGGATAATGGTTGTTTTATAAAATGGAGAAATTGGGGTGATCTGTGAATCACACAGAGATTAATAAGAATTTCATCAATATGACTGTTCCTGATCATCCAAATTTTCAATGATTGTATAATAAACACTGTCTTCAGAATAGTTTCTATCTTTTCTATAATTAGGCTAACAGATCTTTGCTACTATAGGGTAAGCTGGACTTTTGCAGCTCTGATATGATATCTTTAATATCGAAAAGAATGCTAAATTAAACTTATTAAAAGCATAATTTTGTTGGGGATTGTTTTTTCTCCAACTCAGATGTTGGGAAGAAATTAACATAAAGAAACTTGAAGTTGTATCAGTGTGTTAGCTCTAGAAATATTGAATAAACTGGGACCAAATTTCATGTGAAGGAAAGGATAAGCCAGTGAAAGAATCATTATATTTGAAAATGGGTCAGATCCAATTAGGGAAAATATTTCAGGAAAATATCCCCACTGCATCTCCATGGGAGAAAGTTAGGTAGTTGCTTGGAATGTTGCTGACTCTTCCATTCCAAGTTTTGTTTCTCCTGCTTGTGTAACCCAGAGCAGTGGATATGCAGTTTTCCAGTGCATGTACGCTTATGTGTACACACAGATATGCAATATGAGATAAACACTAAGGGATGCAAGGCATTATTTCATTACAAAGAAGAAAATGCACTGTCTTCCGGTGACAACTATTTATGACTATTGAAAGGGTTACAAAGAATTCCAAAGCTTTTGTGCCTGCTGGCTTTTTGTACATTGTTGTAAGTGGCAACTGAATCTATGATGATTCACTTAACAATTGCATTGATTTGCTTAACAATAGTGGTAAAAAATGATTGTAAAATTGAGTGTGACTCACATAACCACCTTATTTATCAACATAAATTCTGGTCCCAATTGTAATCAAGTCTACCTGTATCTTCTATCCCTCAGTTAATCACCAACATTAAGATCAGGTTTGGCTCACATGATAATTCTTAATGTGATCATTTGTTTTTAGACCAGAATGTGATGTAAGCCCATTCTAGTTATGTGAACATAACCTTAGAATAATCATAACCATTTGTTTATGTTTGCCCATTTCAATGGGAATTATTTCCTAATATCCATGTTAGGATTTTTATTCCTCATAAAGTACAGGAAAATTACAGACCAGAATGCATACTTTGGAAAAGGACAGTATTGAATTTTGCAATCTTTCTTTGTTCTTCTATGAACTTCAAGGTAGACCAATTGGGTCAATTGCAAAACCTTGGTAGGGTCATATATACTAACTATACTCATATACATCAACACACACATTGTTGATTTAATCCCATTGTTTGCCTTGGCACAACATACTAAATTGTAGATAAGTCCATTGTCTGGGTTCACAAAGTACATTACAACTAGCCAACCTAGTGTATTATATAAAACTAATCAGTGTTACACAAATCAAGAAAATTAATCTGGCTGAGCAAATCATATTTTAATTAACTATGGGTAATTGTGGCATCACAGCCGATGTTTAAGGGAATAGAATAACTTACTGTAAAAGAAGGAAAGAAATGGTATAAATTATTCACCCATAGAATTTGTTTTCAGAATCTGATCAGTACTCATAGTCATCTTCAGTTACTATTCACTCCTGCTGGACTTTGGGCAAATATTAATAAGAGATCTTGATCACAACTCAGCAACCAAGAAAGAATTAAGAGGAAAAAGCACTCTAGTTTTCTTAGTCCTTAGCCTTGTTGTCTTTGTGTAATTAAAACTTTTCTTTTAAAAAATTTATCATAATGGTAGTACCCACCTTCATTGAGATATGAGTAATCGGTGAATTGTAGCTTACCATGACTAGAGTTGACATGGTAGCAGTATTTGAATTCTGCTATTTGAGTACAATATTTGAGACTCTGTCACAGAGAAGAGGGGCCAGCCTATTTTTCAAAGCAGCTGGGGGTAGACAAGAAGTAACAGGTAGAGAAGTTCATTAAAGAGAGATTCAACCTAGAACTAAAGAGAAATTTCCTGTCAATTAACAGTGGAATGACTTGCCTCCAAAAATTGTGGGTTCTCTGTTGTTACAGGGTTTTTATGATGAAATTGGACAGCCAATTTGCCCAGAATAATATAGGGCCTCTTGCTCAAACAGTGGGTTGGACTAGGAGATCTTCAAGATCTCTTTCAACTCTGTTAGATTGTATTCTGGGTGAAAAACAAATATTTTCATTGGCATAAAATATAACCAGTACCTCCCTTGTAAGGACCTTTGAACTGGGCTCAGTTTCTTGGAATTAAAAGCATTATATCCTTATTGTTTTCTTAGTAAGAATGACCTTGTGTTCGTCCATCTTTTGTGGTTTCTTGTCTCTCATTCATGTAATAAGCAAATCCAATTCTATGTAGGTTCTTAAGAACAGGGTCTGGCCATTAAAGGCTACCATGTGCTGTGTCATTAATATACAGCAGGACAAAATTTCTTAAAGATCTTCAACTTACGATCAGAATTATCTGAAGAAAAGACAGCCTTGGAATTTCCACATTTGTGGAATGTCAGCCACTTAAAACCCCATCTCTTAAAAAAAATATGACAACCCCCCCACCCACCACATTAGTACAACTGAATACAACTGAATACAATGTACTTACTAGCACAATCCTGCAGTCATTTTATGATACTTAATAAGTCAACATGCATAAATAAAAGAGCCAAGGGGTTAGACAGGCAGCAAGGCACTTATTTCAAATACTGAAAACTACAATGAAATATCTCAAGACCCTAACTGGCCCTATTTCATGTAGTATTATTTATCTGGGACAGGAAAAGAAGCTCATTGTATGCTAACAACCCAGTCTAGCACAGAGACAAACTTATAGAGGAGACCAGGAAAAAAAAAAAAACATTCTAGAAACTCTTATTTATGTTCTTTTCTTGTATTATCTATCATGCCTTCCAGACTAGTAGCTGCACAGAGGTGGTATCTAAATTAGGCAACAATTGATACCCTAAACCTAACCCTTCCTCCTGCTTCTTAAAAATCAAGAGTGAAAGGTTCTATTTGGAGGGTGGACTGATGGTGCTATTTGAGAGATTGTTGGCTGTATATAATGGCCGTTATGGTGCAAGTTTTCTTTGGTTAGAGGATGTTAGGATATAGAAGGAGAAACCATTCCTGTAGTTGCAAGATTGAGTAGAGGTGGAACGTCTACAACACAAGTTGTGGCAAGGTGATGGGGCTGGCAGGTGAGAGATTATGGTTGGTGTAGAAGTCCCCTCTTCCTCCTTAGCTATTGTAAAGAGAAAAACTGCAGGAAATGGGGACATAGCCATTAGCTTCTTCCTAACTCAAAGTCTGGTGGGAACAACACTCAAGACAATGTAGGGATTGTTTTTTGCAGCACCCTGCTTTTTCAGCCAGCTACCCTGAATCCATACCCCAATCTTCATCCTGAGGTATCTGCATTTCATCATCTAATTTTAGGTGATTGGACCAGCCGGCTGGCCACCTCTTTCTATTGTAGCTAAGGTAGCCCATTGGATTCTTTTTTGTCCTAGATCTTGCCAGATGGAGAACTGGGGTAATTTTACTCACATGGCAGAGTGTAAAGAAGGTGGCTAACAAGGATTAACACTGATGATGTTATCTAGTTGGGTAATGAGATGTCTGCAAATAAATAATCAAGTTCAGAGAGCTCCAAGGATTTCATAGCTAACAGAGGTGTAGAATCTAGAGATGAGCAACCAAGGCCTGCTATGGAAAGGGTGAGAACTCCATTTGATCCCAACCTGCCATGCTTCTGAATCTTCCTTAGAAAATGAAGAAGATAAATTTCTTCTTTTGCAAGAAGTGGACAGAACTGACTAAATAAACCTCTTAGAGGAGAGGAGAAGCTGGGAGCAAGTGATATTGAAACCTTTGCCCTCAGTAGCCAAGATTCCAGTTGGGTATCTACTTCCTTTTCTTAAAAAATGTTCTTGTGGAAACCCCCAAAATATATTGAGCCTCCCTTTGATCCGGACATCATAAACCTATTTCAGGAGAGTAACTGATTGGTTGGCCAGGTTGTGTGAACATGTTTACATCAAGAAAGAATGGGACACAATTAATGCATCCTGTTGGACCCAGTTACTGCATTTGATCCCATGAAATGACGGTTTTGATCTGAAAAGAAGAAGAAAGAAGAATTAGTAAAAGTGGACTCGTTGTTTGCTCTCTCTTTCTTTCCCCTGCCTTTTCTTACAGCTTTGCTTCTCTCATCCTTTGATGCATGCAGAAAATATTTTATTGTATCTGGACTTTCACCACCAAATCCAAAAGTCATTTGTTTATTTTTCATATTTATGGGCCACCGCAGTACCAAGGACATCTCAATGGTTCTCAAAGATAAAATACAGGAAGGAGGAGGATGTTTGGACTATTTAATACAAGAATCTCTGAACAAAAGACAAGCCCTCCCAGATGTCTTCCTGAATTCTTGGCAGAATCCTTGACCACTTTAAAAATTAGGAATCTCCCATATTGTAAAACAAAATGTGACTATCCCACCCACTCCCTAGCATTCAAAAAGTTCAAAGAAAAAAATGGTAAAATTGAGCTGGGAACAAGGACATATTGGCAGGTGGGAGTGGACTGTGTGGTGGGATGCCTTGATGTCTTGATAACTTGTTGTTTTATAGCTGGCCAGACCCAGGACATACCAATCTTTTAACTGCTGCTTAGTTGATAAAAATTCAGAATGATTTCCTGTACAGCGGAAGACACCTGGAACTTTGGACCATTATTTAAGGCTAAGCAGAACTTTTTATCTGAGAATGAGAGAAAGCAGCAAAATTTCTTTGGCAAGTTAGTGGTTTATCTGTCGGTGGAAATGAATGCTTAAAAGGAGGCCCAGCTGTATGGGTTAAGGGTGCTTAATGAACAGATCTAGGCTCTCATAAACACTGCTTACCTCTTTAGACTTATGCCAGTATTGTTTGGCTATGCAGTTTGCACTGTGACAGATTAAAGCACCAGGCATAATGTGTGGCATTTGTTAAAAGAATATATTAATGATTAATTGTTATTCTGCAGCAGTCCTGTATCGATATGCTCCAGACTTTGAATTAAAAAAAAACTACAAGCTGCATGCAGAGATGTGCAATCAGCATTCACCAAATAATTGAGGCACTCAGATGAAATAAGTGAACTAAGCACAAGCTAATAAAATGCTTTCTAACACAATTGGCTGAGCCCAGAAATCAGCAGCCCTTGAAGTTTTGCCACAGTTGAATTTGTGATATGATCTGTGTTCTCTAAAGCAGATAAAGATGCAGCCCTAAATTCCCCCCACAGTAAAATAAGCCCTGTGTTGACCCAAAGCACCTTAATGGAAATGATCAGAATTAGGATACAGTTAGGATTACTCTTGCTGCATTAAGATTAGTTGGTGACTGTTGTTGGCAGCGCATGTAGGAAAAACATAGGCCATCCTTTTCAACTAAGAAAACATTTGAAATTTTGACAGCACACGTATAAAATACTGCCTTGGGCTGTTGCCCCACTAGGCATGGCCAGGCAAATTATTCTGCAAGGGGTCAGAAATTTATAAATATATATTTTTATATATTTTTATATTTATATATTAAGATTTTTTTAAAAAAAGAGACTTTCTATTAGTTTAAAGTCATACAGAGTGAGAAAAAGAGAAGAAGAAAAGAAGTCGAAGGGAGAGGTAATCAAGCAAGGAAGAAAAGAAAGTAAAAATAGAAAAGAAAGAAAAAGAAACAAAAAAGTATATTTTTCCAATCTTCCTTACACCAGTTGTACCATTATAAATATATCTCTTGCTTTATGGTTGCAACGTAATTCTATTTTGTTGGTCATTACATATAACGCATGAGATGGGGCTAGTCTATCTATGGAATGACTTTGCTTTATCACCTCAGCCCATCCCACTCGATCAGGCAAGGAAGGCATGTTCCAGACCCCAAATAATTCTGACTGGTGGGGTCTAGGAAGAGAACCTTCTCTGCCAATGCCCCCATAGTATAGAACATCCTTCCCCCAAATTAGGGGGGAACGTGAAGGCAGGCCACCCTCTCCTGGCCATCCATAAAAGGGCAAAAATAAGGCTTTAAGGCCTTGCATGTGGGGCAAAAGAGCCATACAATTGAGGGGCTGGCTAACGCCATGAGCGACATACCTCCACCTTTATTAACCAATGTTCAACATCCATCTTGGAATTGTTTATTTCTTTGAAATTTTATAATATTATTACCTCATGATTTTAACGGTTTTAATCTTAAAATAATTTTAATATTCTAATCTTTATTTTATATGCTGTTTTATATGTCAGTTATATTGTACAACACCTACAGCCCCTGCTTGAGGAAGATGTATGGTCTAAAAATATGAAATATAAATGAATAAATAAATATATTTAAAATAGTGATAGCTCTTGCTCTATGTTATTGCAGCAGAATTATAATTTTTTTTAAAAATAATCATTCTGTTCAGAAAATTGAAGATAACAGCTGCAACCATGCCATTTAAGCCTTATCTGAGTTGGGGCCACCATTCTGATTATTCTGACCTTCCTTCCCTCCCATGGATACCCTTGGCTTTCTAGATTTCTAGGGGAAAATATTTGAAGAATGATTGTAAATTCCATTGATTTTTGCATTGTTCAGCTTTGGAATATATATCCCTGGTCATGCTGCCAGCTCTTGGTGTAAAGGTTGGGGGAAATGGTCTTGGAACCCCTCCTTTTATTGCTAGCAAATACTGTTCTCATGCTTCTGCCTATTGAACTGATGCTTTACTAATAATCAGAGTCTCTCAGTCCTTTCTTTGCCTTAATTTGGAATGGCATCAAGAAGACTTTTCTTTTTAATTTCCAGATGAAGCGATCTGTTGTGATAATATTAGATTACAAATGGAAGCTAACAAATCTGGCTACCACTTCACAACCCTTACATGAACATAACAGGGGTACTTCATAATGACACAAAATGGGGCTCTTGTCAACACATCTCCCCTTTTTAAACATGTGTTGCTCTTTCAACATCCCCTTCCCTCTATAGGGATGTATAACATACAATTTGGGTCATAAGTACAGTAACTTTTTTTCCACGTCCTTCTATTGTATGTAGCAGTTTCTTGATTATGATAGCTCACTCTAATGATCTAATTAATTTCACTAATCAGTGAAAGCTTAAATTAATTGGACCAGAGGCAGGCTGGTTATTCCTGAGAGTCTGCTCAATCCATTGATATCCATGTGTCATTTACATGATGATGGTGTCATACAAATGATGCGATTTCCTCCATTTCACATGAATACCCTTCAGAATCTGAAAAATGGGAATTTCACTGTACTCGCACCCACACCCTCAAAAATCATGTGTTCTTGGTTCCAATGCACTATAAAGCATACCTTGCTAAAAACTGTAATTGCAATGTGGGGGACCTTGCCATTTGTTCAGAAAACATTTTAACTTTTCCTGTGATATTACAACATTTAACAACAGCAATGCATAGGCTTTAAAAGTAACTGTGGTTTTATAACACAGGGCTGAAAATATAAGGTCCTGATGAGGGAAACAATAAGCTATACTTGCCCTCTTATTTCCTATTGGATACCTGCTGTATTATCCAAGTTTACCTTTTTTTGTCCTGAGGTCTAGAAACTTACTCTTCCTTCAGAATAAATACAAGGGATTCTCATAATGCTAAGGGCTGTGTGGACATTCTTAGCCCTCCTCAGTAGATGCTACTCCTCCTTTGTTTATCTCAGCCAGTTTCATACTGTGCTCTGCCATCTGCAGAAGCAGAAGGGATTAATTTAGATTTCCTTTGGATTCTTTGGCACCCCCATTGATTTCCTCTCTGCAGCCAAGAAATCATAAGTGTAGTATTTAGCATGGAATTCCTAATAACATTCAGATAGCAAATGATTGTCCATCATCTTTTGATTTTTATTGATGGATGAATTAATTTAGAACTTACCGTAATATGTTTACTAGAGAGCAAAAAAAAAGAGCTACAAAAAAGCTATTACTGTATATGTAAGGTTTTGCAAATAATTTTCTCTAGGATCTAAACAAAAATATTTTTCCCATTTTCAGGTTTTTCTGCACCTTCAAACATCTTATAACTCCCTTACAGAAACTGTCTGGAGTTATATCTCACATCAACACTATAGAGATGGAATAGCATCCTCCATAGGAGGGAAACAGGCTGGAGGAGGGAAACAACACAGCACATAACTCTTTATCATCCAGCAATTGTTGCTGCAATAACTGTCTCACTCTGCCTAGCAAAACAGCTGATATGGTTTCTGCCTTAATTCAAAGCCCAGGAGACGTAATAGGTTTGCTGGGAATTTATTTTAAACCAATTATCTCTGATATCAAATATGTATGATTGTTCTTGGTTGATGTAAATGCATATCATGAGGCAAGATTATGAGGACTTTATCCTTTCCTTGCTGCATTTCAAACTTGTCAAATAGTCGGTTTTAAGAGAGGCTTGTGTTTTAAGAGAGGCTAAATTACAACTACCAGTGATACCTTACAGGGAGTTCATGCATTGAATAGGAAGTTGGATTCAGCAGTCTAAACGGTGTGTGTTTCAATCATTTTGGCCCAACAACTTCCATGCAGTTTCTCAGATGTTTGTTCCCTCTCAAAAGACAATTTGGTTTTCCTACCTCATTAACAGGATGTTTCAGAATGGCTTTTGGTGTTTTTCTTGATGATGCCTTTGGATATATTTTATTGTAGAAAAGGTGGTGGAAAATGCTTCTGTTCTTGCTGGTATTTTTGAAGCCGTGCAAGGCTTTGAAGATGATAACTACATCCTGAATTAATCTGGAAGTAAATTGGCAACTAGTGCATCTTCTCCAAAAAAAGGTAAAGGTAAAAGTTCCCCTGCACATGTGTGCTAGTCGTTTCTGGTTC